ACAGCCAAACACTCTGTCCATTGATGACAAACAGGGACTCATTTACAACATATCGGAGTCGACACAAGCGAAGACACTGACCGTGGATTGGGTCCACAATATCGCATACCTTCCCATTTGCAGCTCATATATCAGCAGTAAAGGCATATACGCCGTCAACCTAACGACCCCTAGCCGCCAGTTCCTTGTCATTCCTCATACCAGTTGTGTCACAAGAGATATAAAAGTGGATCCAAAGGAATCGCTATTATTCTGGACGGAGTATAACGAGTCGACATCCAGTAGTCTCTACTTGTAGTGAACTTTATTGACCTTGATAGGTAAGCAAAAAATTTAGAATTTTAAAAATGTAATAATAAATAAATGTTTACAACTTTTATACAGTACTGAAAGCATTTACTCCAGGAATGGGATCCTAAACACAAAAGTAAATTCATTGCAAAATATATTGCTGTCAATGCTGTCGACCCCTCAATGGAAGCGAAGGCCTGAATGTTCACATGTTTTGCATAAATATAATGATTGGGCTATAGATCGGAATATTCTTAAGGATACAAGTTTTGAATTAATTGTGTCACAACTAAAGCATCATGATCATTTTTTCAATGAGCTTATCCAGCGATTGTTTAAATCAATATAAATATTTAATTGTTTAACATCAATATCACTATATGAGTTTATAATATACAACAAGATCAATCAATGAATAATCAATGTAAGCTAAGTTTGAAAACTTTTATTATGTACATTTACCTATAGTGCTATTTTTGCAATATAATGCTTTTTATTTCTAAAACTTTTAAAATTATTATTTAATAAAAATTTCTCTCTATTAGTATTGTATTTATCAAATTTATTATTATAATATTTGAATGAACAATTAATTTACCATTTTGTATAACATAAATAATTAATTTAAAATTTAAATATATAGATTAATTATAATAACTTTATTTATTAAGGACCATGTTTATCAAGTTAATTTTAGGTTATTATTACTTTCTCACAATTATTTGTCACAAAATCAGTGGCAAAACAATTGCCGCCAAATGTCATCATATTTATGGCGGACGACATGGGATGGGCTGACGTGGGCCACCACTCCGACCACATCCTGACCCAAACATCGACACATTGGCCGCCGATGGCGTCGTATTAAACAATTTCTACGTACAACACGTTTCCAACCCGAGTAGGGGTGCCCTACACTCACCGGTAGACATCCCATGCATTTGGGCTTTCAAAATATAGCACTATTGCCTTTTATGGCCACTGGTTTGCCCCGACACCTTAAATTATTACCACAATATCTTAAGCATTATAATTACGCCACACATATAGTGGGTATGGTAGCAATTTTAATAATGCTAATATTTAATTAATTAATATAATATATAAAACATATTAATTAAATATTAAGTATATTAATATTTTTATAATAATAGTATATTTATTAAATATACAGAAAATTTATTTATAAGAATAGTCATTTTAATTATAGTTACTAGGATAACTTAGTATACAAAACATAACAAATGAATTTAAACAATTTTCTACCTTGGTAAGGCAAATGGCATTTAGGTTTTATGAACCGTGAATACACGCCAACATACCGGGGCTTTGACTCGCACGTGGGTTATTGGACTAACAGGCAATTCTATTTCAATCAAACCCATTGTGACCCATATGACAGAGTCGGGTAAGCTGCTCACTATTTAATCACTTATAGAATTAAATTATCCTGGTCATTCTAGTTGTGGCTATGACTTCCGACATAACATGGATGTCATTACAAACGCGTCGGGAGTTTATTCAGCACATTATTTTACCGACAGATGCCTTCATATCATCGGTTTGTAAGGATTGAAATAATTGATTGTATAGTCGAGTGTATATTTTGTAGACCTGGGTTATATTTTTAGTAAACTATCATATTTTGTGATTACCTCAGATAAGCACAACATCTGAGCCACTGTCCCTATATATGCCACACCAGGCCCTACACGTATCGACTGATGGGTCCCCAGTGGAGGCGCCCCAGGAGTACATCGATATGTTTGCGTACATCGAGTCCGATATGAAGGGAGGGTTGGCCGCCGCGGCCTACAGTATGAACGAGTCGATCGGTGCGGTTGTCGAGCGCCTACACTCGAGACAAATGTTGGAAAACAGTATTATTATATTTATGAGCGACAATGGGGGCACCACTGGTACTAAATTCGGTAATTTAATTTTGAACCAACCGGGACTTATAAACTTTGTGTAATATATTTTCACAGTGTGTTAGGTATAAGAGTTCCGGCGTTCATATGGAGTCCATTGTTGAACAAAAGTGGTTACGTGTCCGACGCTATGATACACGTGACAGATACAGCTATAGACAGGCATAACTAGGACAGGTTTTTGCTAGATTACTTCAAAATCGAAAATTCAATCTTGGTTCTGACTTCAGGATCTTATTCTCAGATAAATTATGCGTAATTTGGTATATATAATAATATTTCTATCTTACCCTGTTATTTAGATATTTAAAGTTAAAGTTTTAAGTGGAAAATTTTTGATTTTCTCATAGAAAATATATGGCAATTTTTCAACCAATGCTTCTAACTCAGCTTATATGAA